ACACTTAGGGCAGTAGATCAGAAACATCTGGAAAGTTTCGAAATGTGGTGTTGGAGAAGGATGGAGAAGATCAGTTGGACCGATTATGTGAGAAATGAAGAAGTGTTAATTAGAGTCACTAAGCAGAGGAATATCCTACACGAAATAAGAAAACGGAAGGCTAATTGGATTTGTCGTGTTTTACCCAGAAACTGCCTTCTAAAAGAAGTTATTGAAGGAAAGATAGAGGGGCGGATAGAAGTGACAAGAAGACGAGGAAGAAGACGTAAGAAGATGCTGGATGACCTTGGGGACGGAAGAGGATACTGTCATTTGAAGGATAAAGCTCTAGATTGCATTAAGTGGAGGAATTGTTTCGGAAGAGACTGTGGACCTGTCGTCTAACAGATTACTGATGATGATAGTTTTTCCTATTTCCCTTAACATGCCACCTACACGAAGTAAATTGAGTGGAAAAGTGCTGCATTAACAATCAAGAGAAATTGTTAGTAATGTATATAGGTATATGAAAGAGGCTGGGCCAACAATTACAGTGAAGAACATAGGAGTGGAAGTAGTAAAGGCAACAGGTGTATCGGAAAGTAGTGTCAGAAAAATAATAAGAGAAACAAAAATATCGAATCTGGAGCTTCCACTTCCTATTCGACACCCCATAAAGTAAGACCTTGGAAATCTCCACTAGTCGTTTTGGACGACTTTAACGAGTCTGCGGTGCGAAGAACAATTAATGACTTCTACATAGTCAAAAAACGGAGACCAATCCTGAATAAAGTTCACGAAAAGTCGAAGAAAACTTTAGATTTTCGGGGATGCATATCCGCATTAAAGAAAATTAATTTGAATCTGGGGTTCCGCTGGAAGAAAACAAAAAATAATCGGCAGCTACTGGTGGAACGATAAAATATCAGAGCCAAACGTCTTCAGTATTTGCGGCAAATTAAAGAAAATAAGGAAGAGGGCCGCCCAATCATCTGCATGGATGAAACCTATATTCATTCCTGGCACACCACCCCATATGCATGGAGTGATGGAACCATCCAGGGATTATTTTCCCTTGTGTCCAAAGGCCAACGGCTCATTGTTATCCATGCAGGGAGGAGAGCAAGGTTTCATCCCTAATGCCTATTTCCGCTTCAAATTCCACCATAAAACAGGAGACTACCACAGTGACATGAACTACACCAATTATGAAAAATGGTTAAAGGAGCAACTTATTCCTAACCTTCCCCAAAATTCTGTCATTGTCTTTGATAATGCTCCCTACCATAATGCACAAATAAACAGAACCCCTAACTAAAAATTCAAGAAGATATTTTATGATATCCTGGCTAAAATATCACCTTCCACATATTACCTTCAATAACACTGATTTTTCATCATTGCAGAATCCAGACATATCATATGACCCTACCACTCAAACCGAAATACCTTTCCTATTAAATAGATGGAATCTTTGCAGAACACAGTCACAGTATTTTACGGCTCCCTCTATATCGCCCAGAACTCAACCCAATTGAGTTAATACGGGCCACCGTAAAAAATTGGGTTGCTCAAAGCAATACCACATTTAAGATGGATGACGTCATTAAACTGGCAGACCAAAAATTGGCTTCAATAACTGCAGAAGAATGGCAACGTAGATGACGACATGTAAGGAACATCGAGCAACAATTAATGGCAAGGGAAGGCATTTTGGACGCAGGACGGGAGTTCGTCTTCCATCTTGGCGGTGATAGTGATGACAGTTCTGATGATAGCTCCGATTCATCTGGTGGTGACGAGGAAGGACAGGCATGTGGAGATGATATCTATGCGGACATTGCCGGTGTTGCCCCTTTAGAATAGATCCGTGTAATATACGAGGAGCATTCCGTATATACACGTAATGCCTCCTATTTTTTAATGAAAACTACAACAGATACAGAAAGCATAATAAATGAAGCAAGATTTCAGCTACTTACAGTTATTTTTCCACATAATCACCACCATTCGTTATGCACTTTTGTCAGCGGTGAACAAGAGCCTGTATGCCGCACCTGTAAAAGTCTGCGCCAGCAGAGGCTAGCCACTTTCTTACAGCTGCAATGACAGCATCGTTGTCTGGAAAATGTTGCCACATAGTCCGTCTTTCATAGGCCCAAAGAGATGGAAGTCTGAAGGTGCTAAACCGGGTCTATAAGGTGGATGTGGTAGGGCAGTCCAGCCAAACTTTGCAATGTGCGTGGTGGTCGCCAAACTGGTATTGGGTCTAGCGTTATCGTGTTGCAAGCGAAAGGTTGTCTGCTTCTCTGGCCTGACTAGGGAAATACGGGCTTTCAGCTTAGTCAGCGTCGTCTTGTAGCGTTCAGAATTGACAGTCTCACCAGGCTTCAGGAAATCCAACAAAATCACACCCCGCCTATCCCAAAAGACCATGCATATCACTTTCCCTGCCGATGGGTGTGTCTTGAACTTCTTTTGGGGGGAGGGAATCCGGATATCGCCACTCCATGGACTGTATTTTTGATTCCGACTCGTAGTGGTGACACCACGTCTCATCTCCGGTGACGATGCTGTCCAGAATCTTGTTACCTTCAGCCTCAAACTGGTGCAACAGGTCCTGACAAACTTCAATTCCATGAGTTTTGTGGTCATGTGTAAGCATCCTCGGGACCCACCTGGAACAAACTTTACAATAATCCAGCTTCCCCAACATCGTTTCCAATGCATTACATCCGATATCAAGCCGTGCACACAGTTCCCTGGTGGTGATCCGTCGATCTGTACGGATGAGCTGATCGAGGCGCTGTTCATCGTGAGGAGTGGCAACTGAGCAGGGACGCCCAAGGTGTGGCTTGTCGTGCACTTCACTTTCGCCATTGTTGAAACGCATTACCTACCGTCTCACTGTGCTGACATCCACTGTATCGTCTCCGTACACCTTCAGCGAGCGTCGATGGATGTCAATGGGTGCAATTTATTCGGCAGTGAGAAATTCAATAACACATCTCTGTTTCGTAAGCACTTCTATGTCAGACGCCATTTTGGTAGACTGCTCTTCTGTCGCACGGCAACCAAACTAACAGTAAATTGGCGGGGAGGTTCAACCTTTACTACAACACCACCAACATCCAGCTCAGACGTTACATGTTGACACAAAAGAATAGGAGGCATTATATACGGAACGCCCTTCTTATAAATAAACCCTTCATGTATACAACAGTGAAAAGTGTATAATGGTGTATAGTGTATAATAGTCTGCCATTCGGTACTTAAAACTTAACATCTGATGTGTGAACATCAACGAGAATAAACCTCCATCACTATGCAACACAATGAGGTAAGAAATTATTTCCTTTTGAGAAAGCCTGTACTGCATTCCCCGCCACTACCAATACTTTTCCTACTCAGCGTCGGAGGACTGTCAGCTCTAAGTACTACAACTTTAAGTGATACTTGGCCGCTCGTCAGACTGCAGCCACCTACTCAAGCTGGTTCCTGGCTTGCGGATTTTTCTACCCCGAAGATGGAAGCGATAAGTTCCTCCGAAATGTCGATTCACACAGGATCTACACGGCGCCACAACCCTGAAGACGACATTCTTCAATTACCTATGTGTTTCGTAACTTTTCTTCAATTATGCGAGTTTTGAATTATGCGATGTTTTGAGGAACAAATCTTCGCATGAAATATGAGAGCACTCTTCATTCAGCTTCACTCAGACAAGGCAGGCAGCTCTCAGTAGCAGTCCAATTCGCTTCTACACGCCTTCCGTGCCCTTACAACTTCCTTTCAACTGGCACTCCCAGCTGAATCCGCAACTCCTCAGGTCATTGCTCAGATGACGCCTGGATACATGCGACTGTAGCGTTATACAAGCATGAGACATACAACACGCATGAATGTACAGCCGAAGACACACCCTATAAGAACCAGTGATTGACTGCAAGAAAAGCAATCATACTACGCGGTAGACAACAATGTAAAGCAACCAGGGTCAAACTGCCACTAAATTTACATGCAACTCCTCAGGTTGTTGCTTCGACAACGCATGCGTACAAGCGACTGGAGTATTATACAAGCAGGGGACATACAACACACATGAATATTATTTAGAAACATTGAAACCAGTGAGATATGGCTAACTTCATACTCTGTTTGCTTTTACCCTTCACCTTAACCGGTTCACGGCGACCCTGCTGGGGGGCGTGTGTAAATTTTTCTGATGAATCATTCATCCCGTAGGCTGATAACTTTCGGAACGAGGGGTAGTTTAACCTTTCTGCAAAGATCATAAGTAATGTTGAAAATGCTGTCCCTCCACACGCAGACATTCCTGCGGAAGTGGGTCTGATTTAGCCTTTGACGTTCTATGCAGGAATATTTGCAATTTACCAAATCCTTCTTCCGTTCGGTGGTTACTGTTTTAAACTTTGTCCTTCAAACAATCCCAGAAGAAAAAATAACAAGGACTGAGATAGGGTGAACGTGCTGGTCAAATATCACTGCTGATAATTTTGCCCCCAAAGACATCGGACAAAGCCTACGTAGACATACGTGCAGTATGGGCAGTAGCCGAGTTTTGCTGACACCACCCATAGAGTCTCTTCTCCTTCTGTTAACTCTGCAAAGAACTGCTCCAGAATGTCCGGTACATATCTTTCGCGATTGTTTCGTTAAAAAGCACAGATCCAACAATCCTTGCGCTTACAGCACACCAGACACCAGCTTTCACTGGGTGGAGCAGGATTTCGAGGTTTAGTTTTGGATTCTGTGAATTCTAGTAGCGAATATTTTACATATTTATGTATCAATCATTTTGCTTAATTAAATTCAGCAATTGGCAGAGCTTTTGTCCTACAAACAAATTCAAACGTGCAGTGATATTTTGCAAAGTAATGTGTGAAGTAAACTTTCGCAAAAGTAGCTCTAGCAAATCCGTGTCACGAACTGAATCTTATAGTTATAAATTTGTTTTATTGTCACGACACTGACGACACTTCATATTTGTTACGTTACAGGTCAAGGAGTGTTTCACCAATGGCGGTCACGTGGATCCCCGTTAGCCCTCGTGAATAAAACACAAGACCACAAAATCCCATATTGTGTCAAGGATAATCCAGGTACGGTCGTCATATATGTCTGTATATGTTTGTGGCTTACGTCTTCAGGTATGGTCTTTGACTGTCCTGGCTTCTGTCCTCCTGGCTAGAGGACAGGTAAGAGTGTATATTCATGTGTAGGAAACTCACATTTAAGGTAATATTTCATTCAACGAAGTTAATTTACCCAAAAAAAAAGAATTGCGCAACGATTTTTTATTTTTGTAGAAGACAGGCAAACAGGGAGAGGACAAACATGCAGCACAAGTAATACTGGGGATCCTTAACTGGACTCAGGCAAGCAAAGGGACGCATACGAGTACCTTCTGGTAAGAGTTAAAGTTAAACAGGAACCAGCTACGATGAGTGGTAGGACTACTTACAGGACACTGTCACCTCAAAGGATACCTTTTAAACTGGGACTAAGTAACAGTCCCACTTGTGAGAGGCGTCAGACAGAAAACGAAACAGCCACACATATTCTGTGTGAATGTGAGGCCTTAGCCTATTTAAGACTACATCACTTGGGTCAATACTTTATGGAACCAAGTGACTATTTCGACGACCCCATCAACAAAATCCTGCCCTTCATTCGAATCGCGGGGATGCTGAGGGGATAATCAATAAAGAGGAAGCAAAATAGACCACTGTAGGTCGCGGTGCAAGGGCCGAAAAAGGCCTACCCCTCATACATTCATTCATTCATTTGTAGAAGAGAATATTTTGGTGGTCAGAGAACATCAATCTTTATAATTGTAAGTAGCACAAATAAGAATTTGGTAGTGCAAAATTAAAAGTAATTATTAAAACTGTTAATCGTATGTGACCGCCTCTGTGGTCTAGTGGTCAGATTTCCTGGCTACAGATGCAGAGTACGGATTCGATTCCCGCCATTACCAGATATTCTGAGAAGTAGTGGGTCTGAAACGGGGTTCACTCGGCCTCGTGAGGACAATTGAGGAGCCATTTGAAGGAAATAACGGCTCCGGTCTAGAAAACCGAAATTAAGGGCCGTGGGGATTCGTTGCGCTGACCGTGCGACACCCTCTATCCGCTAAAATTGGCACTAACTTCGCCGACAAGCGACGGTCGCTCGGCCGGTATAGTTATCTTGCGGACTAACACCACGGAGTTTTTTTTTGTTATTCGTATGTATGAAAAAATATATTAGAAACATCCATCTTTTGGGCGTTATTCCATTCTGAATGCCATAATATGTTAATAAAGGTGATATTATTTGCCACGGGTCTTAACAACGGAGGGACCGACGATAGGATTATAGTAATGATGGTGATCATGATGACAGTCGGCAGAGAAGTGCTGCTATGTGAGACCCGGCCCGTGGTGGGGCATGTCTCCTCACCCCTCTCATACTCACAAACAAAATTTTACTTTGTTAAAAATGATAAAAGAGAAAGACATACAGAAAACTCTTCACTAGATCCGGCCGACTAAGAATACGAGGCATACGTGTTATAATTTTTAAATGGTTTACAATTATTATCAGATTGTTTTATTCCTCGAGCCAAGTGCTTCGATTCTCAGCAGGAGTATTAGGATCTCTCTCTTCGCCATTATAGCCAGAATGGTTACACAGATTGCTAAGTCTCCAGTCCACTGGACACAGTTTTAATCTTACGGGAACAAAGCAGCTAGAGCACGAGTACGAACACCCAAATACATCTTTTTTGTTATTGCTAGTGGGGTGGGACTAAGTCCCTTGTACTGCGGCCACATCTGACCTATTGTACCAGTCCCAGATGATAGGTGAGGGTGATTGTGGAGCAATTGGTGGAATGAAGATTGGCAGGGGAAACCGAAGTACTCGGAGAAAACCTGCCCCAGCGCCACTTTGTCCACCATAAATCCCACTTGACCAGACCCGGGATCGAACCCGGGCCGCCGCGGTGGGAAGCCAGCGACTAACAGTTTGAGGTATGGTGCTTTGATCTGAAAACCCTATACGCTTTTACATCGTGATACCTAAGCACAGAGACTACAGTCATAAGAAACATTTAACCGGCTAGTTGTAATCTTAAGTTTTAGAAGTCTCTACAAACACGGTGCATGAAAACACAAACAGTCCATGAATTGTTTTTAAGAATTTGTGTGTATTATGGGAGCACTTGCATTAACGATAGGACTTCAAGAACCACACTCATTCTGAAACTTTTTTCCAATTCTAGAAACGTGCCAAAATTCATATTTCCCTTTTATTGCTGATTTTCTAAATACAGCTTGAAGCATAAAAAGGAATTTAAAACAGGACAATACAGAGAAATTTCCTCTCACGTTTAGACCTACCCAGAATCCAATCGGAGTACATCGACAAGCTCCCCAGGGGCTGAAGCTTTCACGGATACCGTGACCACTAAAACGTGATTAAATTGAGTGGAATTTTGTTTGGAACTTTGCTACTCATCAGGTTCTTTAACGTAAGTTCCTGTCACCACATTGGGGCCCAAAAATGCATACACATTTTCGTCGCTCGAACGACAACAGTTACGCCGCTATTGTATTTGACTGCCCTACCATTCGATAAGGTGGCTCTGGCATTTATACGAGTAGCACCATCTTTAGAGAGAATATCACACTACACACAGTACACTATATTTCGGTTCTACTTCGCAAATGTCCGTAGACAACCCTTGTTAAAATACGTATACATTTCTTTGGGCTCCTCTGCATATGTGCATCAGTGTGTCCCCCTTCAAATTTTGAATCAATTAACCGATTATCACAATTATTTGTTTTGTTACTGCTGTTGGAGGCTACCGCAACACCAGACATTTTAATGCCATTCACTCACAACAGCATGACGGACTCTCTACTGTGATTTGCCAGCAATGATAGGGCAATTTAATAAAGGATCCTGACCTGATATAAGGTGTTAGATAGTCGGAAATAAAATGCAGTTTTTTAAGGCGCGAACATTTTATTTAGCTTTCGGTTTTATGACGATAACTAAGGAAATGTTTTCAGCAAGGTACGTGATACGGACACTGGTCAAAATGTTATAATACATGCGAAAATAATACGTACAATGTACCTCGTATTACGTATAAAAAGTTGCAGCTATCCCTGTAACAGGCCGTGGAGGCCCACAGGTTTGTGAGACGTCGAGGTCCCCACATTTTCTAGACAATCGGCTCACAGATGGCGTTGAGATTCTCAATCTTACGCGCCGGCCGCCCTTTACCCCCCAGGAAGATTCCTGGCACTCATTTCTGTTAGAGGCTGAGTCGACTCCAGGGCCATAATACGGCCGGAAGGATTAGGTCAATTGAAGGAATCCACCTCATTTGGATTCGATCCCGCGACCTTCCGAATTGTAGCATAGTGTCTCAACCAACTACACCACCGCATTGTCCCCTAGTATTATGTATGAAACTTTATTTGTTAAGTAAATATTCATAAGTCCTGTGAAGATGCTAAGCTTCGAGGCCCAAAGAACTACAAAATAAAAGAGAAAATACAACTGAGTTACATACAATCCTCTGTGATCAATAGAAGTACAAGACAGGATTTCACATAAACAAATATGATTGGTGAGATTGACATTTTTAATTATTTCCCTGCTCTGGTTTTAATAAATAAAGAATCCAAAGCCAACTACCTAAAGCCGAAACAAAAGGCAGCTGAATGAACCACGAAATTTTGCAGGGACCAGGTATCTGTGCCTTTCTTCACTATTTACCTCAAATTTAAGCGAACAGGTTCATGCGACTCTCTGAGATTACTTTTCTTTCTTTGCTATCGAGTTTCCCTGAGCTATCATATATTTTTATTTCAAAAAAATTAACTCAGCAATTCCAGCGTCAACTTTTGCGACTCTCTGCTTTCTGCAGCAGGAAAGTGAGCTACAGGAGTTCTCGGAACTGCTTGTCCCTCCGTACTTTTTTTCTTTCTTTCCGTGTTTTCCTCTCGCACCTTCCTCTCTTTTATGTCTTCTATTTTATTCAACCCAACCTCTAACAGATATGAATACCAGGAAACTTCCTGGGGCGTAAAAGGCGGCCGGCGCGTAAGGCTGACAACCTCACCGCCATCTGTGAGCCGACTGTCTGGAAAATGTTGGACCTTCAACCTATGGGCCTCCACGGCCTGTTGCAGCGATAGCTTTACCTTTACCTCTTTTCACCCCGCTTTGATTTTAATTGTTTTATCTTACTATATTCCTTCCTTCTTTTCCTTTCTTAATTCTCTTTGTCTTTTTTATTTCCACAATTTTCACTTCCCTGCGTTCCATTTCGTTACCCTTCAGTTAGTTACCATTTTTATGGTTCCAAAGAACACATTTATATCTCCGAAGACTTTATATGTTTGTCTGTCTGTCTGTCCTCTCAGTTACACGTTAATATATTGTAGCATGCGCGACCCGTTGCTGGGTAACAACCGCGAGATAAGCAAATGTACAACAGCTGTTACTGAGCAACGCCTTCGCAGACAAACATGTTCCTACAACGAATCCACACGCAACAACAGGGGGACTGTTGGAAACGGAGTCTACTGTGCGGTCATTGCTGAGGCTACAGAACGAGGATGAATGAAAGAAGGTAGTTAATATTAGCCAGCGGGCAACGACGTGAGCACAGAAGCTGAATGATCTCCATTGTTAACATCCGTTACTAGGAAACGACTAGTGAAAAATGAGAAAGCTTAGCGTGGGTGCTCTAGTGATTTGTAAAGTGTGCAGATTGGCGATAGCGTTATAATTACTTGTAGTAACCAGTTATATGTATAAGTGTTAAAATAAATTCTGTCACAAATCCAGATTTCGTCTATAGTCACTCATGTACGTGACAATATTATAACAAACACTGGTAGACCTCCCTAAAACCGACATTAACATGAGCTCACTGACTACCCCAGGAACCGGGATAGCACCGTTGGTGTCGCGACCGGCTACTTGCTGGAAAACCGAGGGATCAAACTTCGAGTCCCTGTAGGGGCAAGAATTTTCTCTTCTCCACGTCCTCCAGACGGGCTCTGAGGCACACCCAGCTTCCCATCTAATGGGT